AAAAAAAAAAAAAAAAAAGCATCCAAGTATCTTACAAGAAAAGGAATCTTAATGGTTGAGGCCAGGGGTTGGCAAGCTATAGCCTGCTTGGCCTCCAGCCCGTTTTTATAAATAAAATTTTATTGGAACATAGCCATGTCCATTTATTTTCTTATTATCTATGGTAGTTTTTGCACTAAAATGCTAAAGTTGAATAGCTGTTGACAAAAACCACAGGCTTGCAAAATCTAAAATATTTATCACCTGGCCCTTAGCAAAAAAAATTTGCCACCCTCAATCTAATCCATTGATTTTCAGATTTTTTTAAGATCAAATATATTCTGAAGATAGAAATATGGTTGCCAACTATTTTATCTGCCAAGCAGAGTTTTTTTCTTTTTTAAATCCATTTAAAAGACAAACTCTTATTACCACTATCTCTTCATAAAATTAAAAAAAAAAAGTTACATTTAGCTTTATAGAAACTTCACTGTACTACTGTCCTTATTTTTCCACATCTTACTTAAACTGAACTGGACTAATCCAACTTCCTACCCACTGGCCCTGCAATACTTTTAAGATGTGGTCATCCAGGCTTTGTTAGACTCCTAGAGACAGGAGCCAACAATCACACAAGGCAACCCATACTACCTCTGGATAACTTCCAGGTTATACACTGTGCTCTCAAATTGAGCTCAAATCTGGCTCCCTGTAACTTTCACCCACTGGTACTGGTTCTGGCCTTTTGAACCTATAGAGAAAAAGTTCAGCCTTATTTCCACATAATCAAACACTGTAAGAATAGACATGGCTATTTTTCCATCCCCTTCTAATATCTATCTTTCCAGGTTAAACATGCATACTTTATTCAAGAAGGCTTCCTTTGAACTAGGTTCCAGATTTCTCATAGGTCTTGAATCATCCTCTGGAGGCCCTCTAGTTTTATGACTACACTTAATGATATACAGAACTTGTCTGAATATTCTAGATACAATATGACTAATAGGGAGCATTGTATCCTTAACATCTTATTTTGGATACTGCATTTGAATATACATTTGCTAAATACCTTTTATACCTTTATTAAACAATTGATTTAAAAATACATTGGCCAGTTGCGGTGGCTCACACCTGTAATCCTAGCATTGAAGCCAAGGCAGGCCGATTCACTTGAGGCCAAGAGTTGGAGACCAGCCTGGCCAACATGGTAAAACCCTGTCTCTATTAAAAATCTAAAAATTAGCCAGGTGTGGTGGTGCACACCTGTAATCCCAGCCGAGGCAGGAGAATTGCTTCAACCTAGGAGGCAGAGGTTGCAGTGAGCTGAGATCATACTACTGCACTGCAGCCTGGGCAACAGAGCAAGACTCTGTCTCAAAATATCTATCTATCTATCCATCATCTATCTATCTATCTATCTATCTCTCTCTCTCTCTCTCTCTCTCTCTCTCTACCTACCTACCTACCTATTATCTATCTATATGAGACTGTCTCAAAACATCTACCTACCTACCTACCTTGAAGAGTGACCTACTGTATGCCTACTAGACAAATGTTTCACAAAACATACGAAGGAATGCTAGTTTTGGAGAAACTCTGAGGAAAAAAAGACTTGTGGTCAAATAAATTTGGGAATAGCTAGATGCTATCTTCCTTTTGAAAAATTAGATTACACATCACCTTGTTAGGTCTAAAAGTCCCACAGTACAGGAGCCTGTTTAAACTTGTTTAGCACACAGGGTTTGTT